AACGCACTGTTAAGACAGCAGGTAAAAGTTGGTCTGTGTTCTTTCGGAGCTGTCTGCGACGCGCTGATGAGATCCAACATGATCGAAATCGCGATCCGCGTCTACCAGTTTCGACAGAATACAGACCACTTCGAATTATTTTATTCACATATTTAGAACATCAATGCAAGTGAAGTAGCGGGTAATACCTACCATGAAATTTTGTACACACATTTTCAGGGGCACAGAAAAAGACATAGGGTATCTTTTACCCAAAAAGAGAATAGGTACTGTTTCCCATGTGGTCGTCGATGATTTTTGAAATGTATGTGTTCGTATTAATAAGAACGTAAAAACTAGCCAAAATTAGATTTACTAAAAAAATAAAAAAATCGTGATTTTTTTGAAAAAACAATCGATTTTTGTTTTTTTGAATCACGATTACTTCGCCCGCGTTATACATCCTCCAGGGTTGTTTTTCTGCGGATGGTCAATAAATAATTCTCGCGCACGGTAAACGAAGTGTGACCCCCTTTTGTTTTTTTTTACTGCCGAACATCAAAAAATCGCTACTTTTGCCAATAAGTCGTGATAGTCCATCGCGAAAGAACCCCCCACTCTACAACTAATTCATAAGTAGTTAAATTCCATCACGACAGATTGACCGAACATCCCACATAATTTGACTGGGGCGAATGATAAATTGTCATGAGTAATTCAAGCGCGATAAACGGAGGCTTACCCCCTTCTGGGCAGTTTTTTGCTGTAAAACATAAAAGAATCACTATTTCCGCCAATAAGCTGTAATAGCCTACGCGAAAGAACTCCCCACTCTACAACTAATTCACCTGGAACAAACGGAAAATTCCCACTCTTAATTCATCAAAAAATCGCTCCTTTCGTGAGTAAATCGTTAAATTCTATCACAAAAAATTGACATAAGACCACAAATAATTCACCCGGGGAGAACCGACAAATTCTCACAGGTAATTCGTGCGCGATAAACCCCTTTCCGGTGTTTTTCTGCTGCAAAATACACAGGCCAACAAAAAAAATGTTTGTAAAAACTTTTTTAATTAATTTACCTAAATCTTATGTATTTTTTAGTGCTGAAATCGTATTCGATATCAGTTTTTTTTATCACCCACAATTTTCCCACAATATGACATTGTGTATTGTATAATTGTATATTTCAAAAAATGGAGAAAATTTTGATAATTAAAAATTAAAATATTTAGTTCTTAATAAAGTTAAAACTTTCTCTTACAAATAATAGATTACTAAATATTAGATACATGTTTTTTTGTATTTTCTCTCTCTTCTCTCTGTAAAGTTTCTTGCATAGCTTTTTCTCCGATGCGAAGCATTCTGTTGCTCTCTGTGAAGTGTCCAACAGTAATCACCCATCATGTTTACATTCCACCTTCCTTGGTATCGTTTCTCCATTTCTTTGATGTCCTGATGAAACCGTTCCCCTTGCTCTTCACTGACATCACCTAAGTTTGTAGGAAAAAAGTCAAGATGGTTGTGCAAAAAGTGGACTTTAAGGCTCATCAGACAACCAAGATTTTTAAAATTGTTTATCATGTTAGATATGATAAGTTCATAGTTAGGATCTTTTACATTGCCCAAAAACTTCGTCACAACTTCTCTAAATGATATCCAAGCCTCTTTTTCCTTTGTACTCATCGTTGCTTCGAAGTTGGTATCGAGCATTAACTTACGAATATCAGGCCCAACGAAAATTCCTTCTTTCAGTTTAGCTTCTGATAAATGAAGAAATTTTCTGCATAAAACAATCACCATCCTAAGGCAAAGCTTTTACAAATTGTTTCATTAAACCCAACTTAATGTGTAGTGGTGGTAAAAGAATCTTTGTGGGGTCAACCAAAGTTGTATGGAAAATATTCTTCTGCTCGGGTATCAAAGTTTTTCTTAAAGGTGAAGAAAACAAAAAAATGCGCAATTTATCAGAACTACTAACCTGATTACATTTTGTATTATTGTCAACTCTATAACACTAGAAATTATTGCCAACATAAAAATATTTTAACGGTTAAAAGTATTTGTTATATATTTTGGTTAATAAAATTTACTTTGATTTAATATTGAAATGTGAGAAAATGGAGGGTGATACGACTTTTTCGTTATTTTTTTCGGAATCAGCACACCAAATTACATAGAAATTAGTTAAAATTATTAAAAACGTCTTTTCGTCGTTGGCCAAAAAAAATCGCAATTTTTACCGATATGTCTCAAAAAAGTTCCTCACTTCATAACTAATCCACCTGGGACGAAAGGTAAATTTTCACCGTTTATTTTAACGTCCAACCCCTTTGTCTTGCCATATAATAAATTTTTAAAAAAATAATGTAACCACCAGTCTCTTTTTATCGCTTAATTAAAAAGCTTGCACAATTTATTTCAAGTACACATCTACTCATTTTAAATAATGAACTCTCTGTGTTAATTTGATTGCTCAGCACGAAATTGCTTTGTTTAACTTTGTTGATTTAACTTTGGAAGTATTTCGTTCGGATTGACGCATAAAACACTTCTACAGCTTTCGCGAGTTATTCACTGTGAACTCGGTTTCACAACTTTGTTTACACATAGAAATTTATACATGCACTTAGATCCAGTACGCATGATGGTCAGAAATCTCAGGACCTGTCGGAAAATTGCTTTCGACAAATTTATTCCTAAAAAAAACAGATTGCTGTTCGTTTCGTCATTCGTGATGAGCAAAGCAAGATCAAGACCAATATTGCCCTAGTCTTGGTCTTGCTGATATAGTCTTGGTCATGGCCTTAGTCGTGCTGATATAGATAGTCTTGATATAGATGGTCTTGATCTTGCGTGTTAAGTCTTGGTTTTGCTCATTTAGTCTAACACTTAGGTACGTTTCTTTTTTAATAAATCTAAATATTAATTTTTCTATTTACCGACACAATAATGGTCTTAAATGCTGAAATTTTCGGTCATAAATGTAAGTATGTCATAACTTTTAAAGAGAATGGTGTCGATAGTTATCAGTTATGAAAATTCGAGAACTTACCTTTTCTCCAATATATAAATTAACCCTTTCTCCATTGACCTTTTAGCAAAAAAAAAATTGTGCAAGGTACTTGAAGGAAGTAAAAAATCATCATCAAAATGTCGTCAGTCCTAAGACTGGTTTCACACGCACCTCCACTCTTTCCTATCCTGAGCTAATCTTCGCATTTTCCTAAAACTAAAGCATCCTACATCCTTAACTATTTGCGAACAGTAATCTAATTTAGGTCTACCTCTACCTCTTCTAACTTCCGTTTCTACCTCTATATGCAAATAACTTTCTACACTCTATCCCGCTTTCCTACGCATTACAATTCCTACCCCCAAATTACCTTCCACCGATCTTGTATGTATTATTCTAAAGTCTCCACTCCAGAAGTCTCCAGCTTCTGGTTAACGGACTTCACTAATGCCTACTATATCTAATTCTAATCTATTCATCTCAACTTTCAAATTTTCCAATTTCCCTACTTGCCTCATTGTCCTAACATTCCACGCTCTGACTCGTGAAATATTGCACTTTCCCCTATTGCACTTATTGATGGCATCCCTCGAGGTATTCCTCGCTCGGACATCCGAATGGGGGACTAGTTTACGTTCGGAGTGCTTTACTCCAGAGGCGCCATCATTTAATTGTGTAGTACGTTTTACTCAGGATCATAATGTAGTGGTCTCCCGTTGTCTTCCGCATCGCAGTGTTGTGTATCAGAGTGCCATACCGATCCTCGTGATCTCTGCCACCCTGAGTATTGAAACAGTTGCTGCTCTTTCAGGGGCTCTCTTTAAGAACCCCCCCCCCCATTATTTGAATCTATGATCTGACTTTACTTTCTTCAAATAAATACTTTTTTGTAGTAGGTAGCTATTTAATTTTCTACATTCACTTAAGTATTAATTTTTTTTTTTAAGAAAACCTTCCAGACATTTTCTCATTTCTTAAATATTGAAGTTTTTCTAAACTAATAGTGTTTTTTTTTAATGTTATAGTTTCTTCAGTTCAACAATAAATAATTCTTTTGTATATGCTTTCTTATTTGCCTTTGTCACCCGTTTTAATTGGAAAAATGACACTGACGCCAAAATAATTTGCTTATCGTTATAGGTGAGAGCCAAAATAGGGTTACAAATAATTTTATTCAACATCAATCATTTTATATCAAAATATTTACAACCCCATTCTATTTCCTATCTTTTACACGAGAAAGAAATGGAATCCTTAGTTTCTTTAGCTTTGGGTTCATCTAATGAGTGATGTTTTTCGAAGAATTTTGGATTATAGGCATCTATTAACACACCACAATATCTTGTAATTTTCAGTTTTTCACAGCTGGCTTATGTCATTTCCATATTGTTTTGCGGGCTGTTTTGTCGTAGTTCATAGAATTTCGTAGTTCCTTGCTCAAAATTCTGATTTCATTTTGGAACTTTAAAATTCGATGAACCATGACATTGAACCCGGAAAACAATATCGATTCAATATTTTAGATTATGCATTTCCATGGAGGCTCTATTCAATTAAATTTTTAAGCTTATATTACCTTTAATAGCCAATGTGAGCAACTTTCATTCATGTTTCATAATGTTTGATCGGTGATACCAGAAAACTTTTAACGTCAAAAATGTATTTTACATTTTACAAATAGAAAAAAGTATTTGAATGCAAGATAAAAATATTGTATTTATATTTTAAATGCAAATATTTCAAATAAATCACGTCTCTAGTTAAATGGGGCAAAAAGTAAGTACGAATCTATGTTACGTAAACCATGCAAAGAATACTTTTATTTGGTTACTTAGGATAATAAGGCTGAGGTAGGATAAGATAACACGAAGAAGTAAATGACGAAATGTTGTAATTTTGCAATTTTCAACAATTTTTTACGTGCTTTTGTCCACTTCCGTCTTAATTATTTTCTTACTTTTGAAACGATTGTTGACTACAATGAATGGTTTATTTGTTTCAGGTTTAGCTCGTGGTTTTCAAAAGGCACCCGCCGACGTTGAAATTCACGAAACACAACCAGTAATACTTCCTTGCCACATTAATTCAATTCCCACCGCTGTTATACGGTGGGAAAGGGATAGCAAACCTCTACCTCATAGCACAAGGTAAAACAATCATACTATTTACCTTAGGTACAAAAGAAACCCGTTATTTAATCACTATGAATAGATTTATCGCGATTCTTAGATCGTTTCCAATTTTTGGATTTTCTCTACACAAAAAAGGGAATGGAATATGAAATATGTGTAGCAGTTTATAAGCAGTATTATATTTTGTAATTTTTTTTTATTGCTTAAAGGGTAAATCAGGACGTATCGAAGGGGGTGTCGCAAAAATATATGAGCGAGTCCGCTTTTATGTGTAATCAGTCAGCAGCAGTAGATTTTTTTTATCAAAACCTCAATTTGGCAATTATAAAACATCGATAGACTTGCAATATTAATTTGAAATCATCTTTTCGATTTTTTATTTACCCACTACAAACTACCTCAAATTAATGAGGGAAAAATTGTTACTGCTGCCACCCCCCCGCCGGGAATCGAACCCGGGACCTTTGGCTTTACGCACCAATGTTCTGACCACTAAACTACGAGAGATGACAACAGCAACCACGACAAAACATTGGTGCGTAAAGCCAAAGGTCCCGGGTTCGATTCCCGGCGGGGGTGTGACAGCAGCACCAATTTTTCCCTCATTAATTTTAGGTAGTTTGTAGTGGGTAAATAAAAAATCGATAAAATGATTTCAAATTAATATTGCATATTAATCCACTATTAAGTAAGTAACTAATAATGTCGTAGGATATCGATAGACTTATTTTGGTAATAAAGCAATTTTTTTTATTATGTTAGATTAAAACGTTAAATTATTGCTAGTTGGCTTCACAAGAACGAATTTATCAATGAATAAATTAGGAAGTGGCTACTCGACCGGTAGAGGGAAAGGTGTATAGACTAAGTATTAAATTCTTATACATAACCTATAGTAGTATGTAAATTTTAGTTAAGTTAGGATGTTCTTATACGTTTTAAACAGCAGGCATCTTGAAAAAAAAATATGGTGGATGTACTGGGCGCCTTTTTTTATCAAAAAAGAAAAAATAAATAATAAATGAGTTAGGCTGAGTATGATAACCACATTCATGAAAGATTCATTTAAATTGATTTAGTAGTCCAGGAAGAAATCACGAACATATAGAAACTTTTTTGTTTTTTTACTTTTCACTGACATAATCCTCGCGAAACTAATTCCTATAAACAATTAATGATTCCCAAGGGCGGCTATCTCACCTTTTATTACTACTTTATCGAATTATCTGACAATTAAAATGACTAATTAAAGGACGGAACTGATGTGCCTTAGACTTAATAGGTATCTCAAATGTTATCGTTTAATCAAAATTTTTGTCTAAAAATCACCAATTACTTGACGTGTCAAGAAATTTTCCTTACATTTGAGTCGCAAAAAAACAATTGTGGCGCAGGAACAACTTCCCCGGAAAAATAATAATTTAATATTGAAGGGGTCTGACATCCTACAAATGAGCCTTAGATCCCCTGACAAATTATTTCATAGGTTTTCTCCTATTTAAAACGTCTTTTAGATTTGAGATACAGAAAATAATTGTGAAAAAAAAAATTAACATTGAAGGGTGTGACATCCTATAAATAACTCTCAGACCCATTGACAAATTATCTCATAATAATGCTACCTTAAATGACTCGTACAGCTAGGATACAAAAGGTAGGATACAAAAAATTGTTGTGGGATAAGCATAATTTCCACTTTAAACTACTAGTTCATGCATATTCTGTGGATGTGGCTATTTTTATATTCGTTCTCCAACTTCTATCAGTTAAGGATGTTTGGGAGGTACAAACCGAGACAAGAGTACATAAAATTAGAAATTCGTGATTAATTAGGTTTTGCAGCAATCATGAGGTAAATAAATACTATCTACACTAAAAAAAGTATATGGTTTGAGAGAAAATTTGGAATTTGACCAAAAACTTGAATAAAATAAGAAATAACGAATTATATGGAAAATTTTTAACTGACTTTTGGCAGTGCTTTGATTTCAACTTCGAAACAAAAAAATATTTATTTTCAATCTTTATTAATGAGCGTAAAGTTTTTTTAATATGTTTAAGTAATATTTGAAATTGCATTTATTTCAGACAATTATAAATATCATTATATTATCAAGTAAATACGAGATTTTCAGCTAGTTTTTCATTTTTTCCTCGATAACCATTTAGTGAATTTAAATAACCTTACGCTAAAGTGAATCTCCAGAGTTCAAGTTACTTATTATAAAAGTTTGAAATTTCTGGTAGCTTTTTTCTGTTAATAAAAATAAATTTAATCTGTTCGGTTAACGAATCTCCATAAAATGACATGTAAAATTACAATTTTTTAAAATTTCAATAACTTTTTAACGGTTTAGTGAATCGATTTGTAATTTTTACAGGAGTTTTAGAATTGAATGAGGAACGTTCTTCCAAATTTGTCTCGTAGCATTTTGACATACCTCCCAAACATCCTTAAACGGCCCGTTCATTTAATCTATCTTATTAAAGATGTTTCCCCGAGAACTTACCTAATCTTTATTTTGTAATTTAATTTATGAATTCTATGCACGTCTCTTCGTTTCAGATATGTTCCTCTTCCTTCGGGAGCTTTGTTAATAAACAATGTTCATTCAGTAGATGCAGGTTATTACAGGTAAGCTTTATTACGTGCATTACTTAAATAAAATTTTATTTTTTACGAAGTTACATGTACTTCCTTCGAATGGACAAAAATAAAAAATAAAAAGAAATGAAACACTTTGATATTTAATAGGGATTAATATCAAATACCAATGTGAAAATTCATTTTAATTTTTTCCCACTATAAACTACCCCAGGTTCATAAGGGAAAATTGTTTCTGTTGAGGTTTATAATGGGAAAAATTTAAAATGAATTTTCACATTGGTATTTGATCAAAAGCAATATTTAAATGTTTTTTATTATTTTTGTTTATTAGAAATAGCATATTATAAGTTCGTTTTTTCAAAAAAAAAAAACACATAGTGGATGTCCCAACTGCGTTTAAAAGCATACAAATGATAGTTTTACATGATTATTCACCGTTTTCAGGAAGTCCTGAAAATGTTTGTGTTTGGAATTGTAGACGATTTTGGTTTCATTTCCAGTTCTGTGTGGGTGCATTTTCAAAGCTTAGGAAGGAAACAATTTATTAAAAAAACTTTTGTTATTTAAGTGGCTAATTTTTTGCCTGGCAATCGATTTTCTTTTTTCAATTTTCTTTCGTAATAACCCAAGCCGACGATAAGCGGATGTGACAACAGTAATAATGAAAAGGAGAAAATAGTTTTGTTGTTACATCCAGGAATGTCAAACAGAAACATCAAAAATGGATAGTAGGAGGATAAGTAACAGTCGTTTCCATGTATATTACGTAAAGGATTTCGAGAATCTCCTGCTGCGATTCGTATAAATTTGTAACTTATTGCCATCTGAAACGGATTTGGTTTTCATCCCATAAATAGGCCGATGAGAGAGGAAAATGAAGTATTCGGGATTTACTTAAAAATAAGAAACTTCGTTTCAAATTTGCAAGGAGCTTGGAGAAGTTTCGAGGGTCGAAATCGATAAGGCGCGTGTGCGTATAACATGTATATGTATAGCAGTCAAATAAGTAAAATTTATCATAAGTTCGACGATGATTTGGCAGAAAAAAGCGGCTCGAGGGCCCGATTCATATAATGTAGAAATGAAACGAAGAGGCGATATTTCATTTTGAGTATAAAGAACGGCTGGTGTGGTAGGATCGACGTCCTTTGTGTTTAGGGTACGCACTCTAGCATCGTTATATTATAAGCCATTATTTTCGATAGCGAATCCGTGAACTTATCCGAAAGAGAACACAAGTTACATATAGTAGGGTATTTAGAGAGATACTTTTTTTTCGTTTCTGCATGCCCAGATTCGTAAAAGTTCGGATAAATTGAAGCTTATGCTTTATTGCTTTTAAATTCCTGAATAAGAGATCGGAAACAAATTTTCAAGTTTATAAGGCATGGATTTGCGTGTAGTTTATGTCGATTTGAAAAAGTTATAAAAATATATTGTATAATGCTAAAGTAAGACGATCGCTTTCCTGTACAAAATTTCGAATTGAAATTTATTGTGTAGAAAAGCGTAAAATTTGACTGACAGTCGTCGATGGTAGACCGAAATAATACCAAACCAAAGCGAACTAAACTCTATATTTTAAAGGAATGTAGTTGTGGATGTAGGGTATTTTGAAAAAATTGAATAAACGCTATGCACTAAATTATTTGGAGAAAATTCTCATTCTGAATTTTTTAATGGACCGTTTACACCTTAATCGTTTCGTTCTTGGATTGAGCCAAAAAACAGATAGATAGAAATTCCCGATTTAGACCGTTTAAGGTTAGAAGCGTTCGAAATGTGGTGTCACAGGCGAATAATGAGGATACCGGGGATAGAGAAGGTAAAAAAATGAAGAAGTATTAGAAATAATAGAAGAACAGAGGACTCAATGGAAGTCAATAAGAAATAGGCGAGATAGGCTGGTAGGACACCTTCTCAGGCACGAAGTTCTTGTCAGAGACGTATTAGAGGCAGAAACGGGAGTTAGAACTGGTAGAGGTAGACCTAGATTAGATTGCTGTTCATAAATAGTTAAGGACGTGGTGGGTTGTTCTAATTTTAAGGAAATACGAAGATTAGCTCAGGATAGGAAAGAGTGGAGGTGTGTGTGCAAGCAGTCTGACTGGTGATCTTGTGATGATGATGATGATGATGATAAAGTTTTTAATTAATTATTGGTTGTTCGGTCAAAAATGTTAATTAGAATCGTACAGAGGGTGGAAAATAGAGTGAAAAAAAAATTATGGGATGGTCAATTCTAGTTTAGAAGAAACAAGAGAAGGCATGAAGCCAAATTAGCTTAAGGATATTAGTTAAAAAACTATGGAAAAAAGAAAGAGCACAGACATATGATTCGTAGATCTAGCAAAAACTTTTGACAATGTTAAATGGGAGATGATGAAATATTTAAGGATGTAAAGAAGAATGATATATGGTTTATATAAAGAGCAACAGGTAGTTAGAAAAAGTTAGAAGTGAGGAGGTGTTACAATGAGTAGGAGAACAGAGGTAATCGGGGAAAAAGAAATAGGCCAAGACGGGTTGGTACACCTTCTCAAACATGAAAAGCTAGTTATAGGCATACTAGAAGCAGAAGCAAAAGTAAAGAAAGGTAGAGGTAGGCCTAGATTAGATTACTGAATTACATGCAAAAAATGCGAAGATGGGCCCAAGACAGGAAAAAGTGGAGGTGCGGGTCCAAGCAATCTTCTAGTTAAGGATCTTACTGGGCACGATCAAAAAATAGTAGGACTTAATTTCTGTAGAGCAAACAGAGCGATGGAGGAAGTTCGGATCACCTGGGCGTGTTAGTGGGGACTCTTCTGTAGGACCGATATTTTTTCCAGTCGCTTGTCTGCGGACAAGCGGTGAATCAGCAGGTCAATTTCCGTGAAATTCTATTTAGAACTGTCGTCGCGATCCAAGATTGAGAAAAATCTTGAACGGCGTAAACCTCCAAATTCTGCTTCAAACTCGGGAAAATCTCGACGAAGACCCTCAGAATGATTAAGGACACCTACGAGGATGCTGTAATGAACTGCTCAAAAGTGTTCAAGTGGCATTAACTGTTCCGGGAGGGGCGGCAGCTAGTCGAAGATGACGAGCGCGCCGGTCGTTCTTCAAATTTAAGTATTGATGAAAATGTGGCCAATGTGAAGGCGCTCCTGGACTCCGACCGACAAACAAACATTCATCTGATTATTGAGGAGTTAGGGGTTTTGTATGATAGCGTCCAAAAGATTATCAGAGAGGATTTGACCATGCAAAAGGAGTGATGAACAAAATCGTGTGCAAATTTACAAAGTAAATTTGGAACTGCGTCGAGGGAAACCCAAATTTCCTTAACAATGACATAACCGGTGACAAAACGCCAGAGCGCCGAGTAGCACATCAACAAGACCCCTCCAGCACAGGTTAGAACATTGCCTCACCCTCGCCTCTACGGTCTAGATCTGGTACCGTCACACTTCTTCCTCTTTCCTCGACTCAAGCAGGACCTCAAGGGAAACCGATACAGTTCCGTAGATAAAGCCAAGGGGTCGTGACGCACCTATGAAGGGGATCCCGGAAAGCGAATTCCAGATGGCGTGCGCGCAGTGGGAACAAACGCGTTATGTCGAAACACATGGGTGCTATTTCGAGGTCTGCTAAGGATTAGTTAAAAAAAATTGAAATTAATTGACTCCTATTAATTTTTGATGATGAGGATGACGATGATTCGGTTTTTGATTTCCGATCCATTCTTATTTCAAATGAAATAACTCAGGAACTAAAAAAGTTTTGGGTGTTTCATTCCGACCAGCCAGTAATTCTGGTGGGTGAGCAGTCCCTTCGGACTACGCCGGAGGGTAGGGTGGAAGACCCTCTTCAGCCTCTTTTCAGGAATCGTGAGAATAGATAGGTGGTGGTTCGGGTGAGAAAGATGAGACGGACGAAATGAAGAGAGAAAAGAATGAAAACTTATCAGTGGAATATTACTGGCCCAGCATTTACTTAAGTAATCGAAGGAAACCACTGAAAAACTTGGACCAAGGCAGACGGACCCGGAACCCGGAATCGAACCGATGTTCTCTTGAATGCAATGGTCTAAACCTCTACACATGCCACTCGGTAATAATACAGGTGTAAACGGTGGCTTATATAGCTTGAATACACTCCACTGCAGAATTGGAATGCAAAAGGAATGTGGTAGTAGCTGTATCTATACTCCCATCGACGGAGTCAACAGGAACCATCATTTAAATAACTACGTGTGAAGCTGTGAACGGCTTTGATAACTGACATTTTACGTTAGATTTGCATTAGTTTTTATTGCAGGATAAATCAAATGACTTTGCGGTCTTTGAATTTAAGTTTGAATCGCGGATAGGCGTTGTAATTTTAGTTTTAGATTTACCTACCTATACCAATGCTCAAATGTTCTGCACAATTCGATTTTGTTGAGTTTCTTCGCTATTCAGATTCGAATCTGCCCTAATAATGTATTATTCAAATCTTCTTTGTTGTAGTGTTTCTTTTCTTATTCGGTATCTAACTCGGTTTTGTATTCAAAACGTCTGGTAAAAATGTTTACAAAAGGTGCAAAAAAAATCAATTTGCCTGACACAAACATTTCTATAAAATAGAAGGCACCTGTAAAATCTTTTCGCGGTTGTGACACTGTTATATTTGTTTCGTTTTTTTTACTATTGTATTATCAATCTATTTTACAATATTTGAGAACCTTTCTATAACCAGCACGCTGTTTTTCGTTTTCATTTGTTAATAATAACGTTTAAATCACCTAATAAAATCGGATGAAATTTCAGAAAACAGTATATGTATTATTTAAAGCCTTTGCGGCATTATGCGTATCTTTTATTGCGAAATTTTCCATCGTTTTGTCCACGGTTAATTAAGCAATAGACATACAAACAAACCTACGGTACGACATTATTATACGTACATGATTAAGCCCAGAGTGCTGATGTATTTAGGCAATTGATTTTAATCGAAATAAAGTTGTATTACCTCACATTGTTATAGAATAATACATATATAATGCTTTCTAGTAACAGTAGTATAACTATAGAGGGTTAAAATATTCAAACGTAAAAGAATATTTCACTTTTCGAAGACGCTGATAAGGGAACGTACCCATCGGTGATTAATCAGGGTGAGGGGTACCTTCAGGGGCGGGTGGGGCTTGGGTTTTCTTCACGCAGTCAATATCATTTTTTTGAGATATACTCAAAACCATCTGTTTGCAAAATAGTACATTACGTGTCGAGGAAAGAAACAGGATTTTTTCAGACTGCATTTCCTAAGGCAAGGGTGGCAAACATGCAATCTGAAATAACACTGTTTCTTGATAGTTGGCAAAACAAGAGTAAATTACTCAAAAGTTACGAAGTCATTGTAAAACTGCTGAAAATCCATATCTTCCCTATTTCATACTACGCAAAACGAGCTCTCTGGGGTAACATGACAAAAAATTATTTAAAACCATATTTAATATTTATGAACACTAGAGGGAAAGGAGGATCTTGATCATATACTACGGCTGGTCACCGAGAGGCGGTTAAAAAATATAGAAAATGGATTACGTGGTGTGGGTACCTTCCCTTATATACGTAGTCGTATCTGTAAGAAAATGATCATTATAATAAACTAAAATAATCTAATGTTCGTGGGTTTAATAAAATTAGCTTCTAAGACTGATAACAACAAAAACTATTTATTTACACTAATTATTAAAGGATTTAAAAACATGATTAAATTATTACTAAACATAGGTTATGAATTATTATATTTATTTACACTACTGTTGATATATCACTATTCACTGCGCTATTTATTTCACTTCTGCAACGGTCAATTTATTTATTCTCTTCTCGGCGATCGTCTCTTCCTTTAAATACTCTTTTGTTTACTTTCGGGAACCTTCTCGAAACTTCCGGACAGTTTATTTTTTGTTTGAACTGTTTAACTGCATTCTCAGAACGCAGGTGCGACACACACATTTACAAATACGGCGCACATGAAGAAAGGTCCCCACGGCTAGTCGGCGAATCGATAAGCCGTTCACGCACACGTGTGCCCGATCGCACACAAACACACTCGTGCTCGTTACAATAATATGTAGTGGTAGCCCAACGGAAGGCAAGTGCCTCTTTAGATGTAGATGTAGTAAGTTTAACGTATGTGGTGAGGTGTGCACTTGCGACCTTATCTTTGAGCCTGTGGTGATAATGACATTACCTATCTCTGCTTTTCGATTTTCAATTGCGGTAAAAACTGCGTTAGTTCGATCGTGATCGGGATCGCTAAGGTCATAAATCCCTCCCAAACATACAACCAGGCATTACGTCTTCTGGCATGTAGGCTAGGACGTTTAATCCCGAACCGATTCGCAGTAGCAAAAAGAGAATTGGAGACCGTTTTACAGCAGAGTATCGCTCGCCCAATTTCCTTCTTTAACCCCACAATTTTCACATCATGAGTGAATTTTAGGTCGATATCTCGTTTACTTTAGGAGTTAGATGGATGGACAGCTTTCACCAATTACAGGGTTCCTTTTGGATCCTTCACATATAGAATTCTGGCAAGTACCGTTCTTATGTCCTTTTCGCAGGCGGTTAATTTACATCAAATGCTTAAAGATGCAGAAGGTGATAGATGGAATAAATGGACGATTTCAAAGTTAAATAAGTCATTGGTTTCTAATCAGACAGATACGAGGTCTATTCAAAAAGTATTGCGACTTTTGAATTTCCGCTGGTTACGTATATTCGATTTTCGAATCTTTTGTGGCGTTATGTTGGTATTCCATGCCTCTCACTTATACCGCCAAGTTCAGCCATGTAGAATGTTTGGTTAATTTTTGATAGCTGTTTTGCTTGCACGTATTTTGGCTCGTCTTCGATTTTTGCCTATTCCAAAAAATGGATCAAAGAATCTGTATCAAATTTTGTTTGAAAAGAAAATTAAGTGCGCGGACGTATTCCGAATATTGACTGTGGCATATGGTGAAGCTACGTTGCACCGAAGAAAGGCTTATCGGTGGTACAAAATGTTTTCAGAAGGTCAAGAAGATGTATACGACGAAGAGCATGCCGGACGCCCGAACACGTCAACATCATTGTGGAAGTGAAGAAAATAGTATTGACCTAAACATATCGATTGGCTTCTGCCTTTCCTTCCAATTGGATTTCCCATTTTATGTACCACTTCGTGTTACTATATATCTCATGTGTTCGAGCGTCTTTGGTTCCAATTTACACAACCTGCTGTAATGTTCGTGGGTTTAACAAAATTAACCCTAATAATGATAACGACAAAAACTATTTATTTACACTAATTATTAAAGAACTTAAACACTTCTGCAACGGTCAATTTATTTCTACTCTTTCTCGGCGATCGTCTCTTCTTTTAAATACTCTCTTGTTTCCTTTCGGGAACCTTCTCGAACCGTCCGGAAAAGTTTCTTTTTCTTTATACTGTTTACCTGCTTTCCCAGAACGCACGTACGACACACACGTTTACAAATACGGCGCACATGAAGAAAGGCGCCCGCGGCTAGTCGGCGAATCGATAAGCCGTTCACGCACACGTGTTCCTGATCGCACACAAACACGCTCGTACTCGCTACAGTATTTTCTTCTCTTCTTCTTTGCAGTATCTTGCCGTTCTATTCTCACTTCACAATCTAAATCTTGGCGTTAAAACTAATTCGTTTTTGCTCTTCCCTCTTTTGTGTTTCAAGTAATTTGGTTTTTCTTCCATTTCTTTTCATATTCTCTTGTATTCCTGGGCTAATTTTAAGTTTCTCATATTTTCTGTTCTTTTTTTGCTTATCAGTGTCTTTAGTTAAACTTTCCAGCTCTTTCTATAGACTTCTTTCTTTTCCAATTTCCATCTGTAGTGAACTGATGCTGTCCTCATTCGGATTTAAAAGTCGTCGTTGATTGGGGGTTGTTTCCTGGATCAGCATCAGTTCATCACTGGCAGCTTTACCAAAATTTGTCCATATGTTGTCTTTGATAGCCCATCCTCTTTCCATAAAAAAAATTCTTTCCTTCTTCCATATTTCCCTGGTTTCTAATCATATTTAACTTCAAATGGTACCGAATCGATCTAAAAACAATGGTCTCTCTGACATAATTGGTAATGCAAATAATGGAACGCCAAAGAGCCCGAAGACTGAAATGAAAATGTAGAATAAGATTGAAACCAATGACTTGACTTTGAAATCCCCTATTTCTTCTATATCTTTCACCCTCCGTACTCCAAATAAGCCAGATATTTTTTCATTTATTCAGTTCTGAGTAAGAGTACGTTAGTAGTTTTTCCAATGTTCTCTTCCTTTCATTTTTGATATCTGAAGTACTGTTCAAAGATTTAAAACATTAAGTAATGATGTTGATTTGGATTTTTCCGCAGTTTTGGTAGTAGAAACGTAACAGTGAAAATGTATACATCCCTGAACCAAATCATTGGAATAATGTTGCACAAATGAGAAACTGAGCTGTTTCTATTACTCTAAAATCTGTCGCTTTTATAGGCCTAGGTCTATACAGTCTATTGACAAATTCAGCACCAGCACTGTATTTAACAGAAAAATAATATTTAGTGAGAGGAAAAACTGAAGCCAAAATTACAATAGATAAAGGTCTCCGTTGCATGTCTCTCGTCTTACATGAGAAGTTGTAAAGTTGTTAAAGAGATATTGTTTTGTTTAAGTTACATCATTGATAGTCCAAAAAATAATAGCGGCATCGCACGGTTACATCGTCTCAAGTTTGTTTCCGGTTTATTGTGAGTTTTTCGGAATGAATAACGTATCTAATGCTGCGTTTACACCAATATCACAAACAACGGAAAACGGTGCAGAACATGTTTGTTTTAGACGGTAACGCGCTCAGTTTTTCGGGCGTTTTGTGGATTCCTGATGTAGGATCTGTTCTGTTTTGAGGCTCGCTCGCAAATTACAGCATGACCAACAGATGATTATTTGGCGTGTGTCGAAAAACATTTGCATTTGAAACCGTACAAATTAACAAAGTTGTAAAGTTCCATTTTGAATCACCCTGTATAATTTGTTAATTTAGATAGTTCCTGGTCTGGTGATGATAATTTCTTGTCTCTTTTGTTTCAGATGTATAGCAACAAATAAAATACTTAAAAAGTCTAGAATAAGTACGGCGGGTAATTTGACAGTCTTGCCACATCCTAATTTTCCTCAGGCTCCTAGATTTCTACTACCTCCGGGCTCGAAACCCAAAACGACGGTTGTGGCCGGCACAAACCTATCACTACATTGCGCTGTGACGGGATGGCCTATTCCTGAAATAAAATGGTTATATAGTGAGTAAATTACTCATATAAAAATACTCTTAATGCGATTTGTTCATTACAAAAAAGAAAAACTTTTTTTCTGGTACCTTTCAGGAATGGAATATTTTATAGGAAATATAAGCACACTTACGTTGAAAAATATAAGTTCAAATTTTACGGGTAACTACACTTGTTTAGCTTCAAATACTGCTGGAAATACTTCCCAGGTAAGTTTTTAAAAATAGCATTTTTTTTTTGATACTTTAGCATTGTAAGATCGTTCATGTGTTTTGTAAATTTCAAACTTTCGACGATGCAGGGTTGATGGAGCACATAAACAAACTCACAATAACACAAAAAATATCAATAAATGTACCTATTAAACAAATGGGACAATTATTGTTACGACTAACAATAACAAGAATTAGAACATACACTAAATTACAATTTAGAAGGGTACAAATTTAAAACAAGTGATTTATTGAGAAAATACTGTTGCTTTTGGTTGAGTTATGTTATGAAGGTAATATCAAGAGTCCAGATGTTCCAAATTACCGTATGACTGCTACAACTTTAAATATATACCTAATGTTTACAGGGTACAAATTTAAAGCAAGTGATACATTAAGAAAATACAGTTCTTTTTAGCTAGGTTAGGTTGGGTTATGCTACGAATCTATTATCAAGGGTCCAGCTGAACTAAATTATCGTGTGTCTGCTACAGGTTTAAATACATACTTAATGTTTGAAGGGTATACATTCAAAATAAGTGATGTATTGAAACAGCACAGTTCGTTTTGGGTAGGTTAGGTTATAAAGCTATTATCAATGGTCCAACTACACCGAAGTAGCGTGTGTCTATTACAGCTTTAAATACGTAATTTGGAAGGGCACGATGACTTGAAGGAACACAGTGCGTTTAGTTTGGGTTAGGTTAAGTTATGATGCTTTCATCAAGAGTCCAACTTTACTAAATTACCGTGTGACTATTATAGATTTACCTAATGTTTAAAAGATAATAATTTTGAGAGAAGTGGTGCATTGTGAAAATACAGTTCTTCTTGGGTTAGGTTAGGCTGGGTTAGCCTATGAATCTATTATCAAGAGTCAAGCTGTACTGAATTACCGTGTGATTGCTACAGTTTGAAATAAATATCTAATGTTCGAAGGGTACAGATTCAAAATAAGTGATTTAGAAAATACAATTTTCTGTGGTTAGGTTCGGTTATGAAACTATTATCAATAATCCCATTGTACTAAATTACCTTCCATGTTAGAGGAAAAATTGAGAGAGAAAGCAGGTTTTAATATAATATAAAGTTTGTTTTGTTGGTGTGTCAATGAAACAGAAAAAGGAATTGCAATGTTAGTTGTAATGCATAATATGGAAATACATCAAGTAAAAATTGACTATGGAATTTGTTACTAATGTAAATAGCATCACAATATTGACCCTGATTGATAAACACCTCTTCTTTGATTATGTTTTTTATAATAATTCTTTATATTTGGTTGTTTAGTATTAAACA